GACCCTGCCTTACATACACCATGTTATATAGCAAGGCAAGCACTTAGAATTTGGTTTTTAAAGAAAAAAGAAAAATTGTTTAATAAATAATTTAAACAATCCAAATAAAAATGAGCAATAATTGCAGATAACCAAAGCATAGTACAAACTATTTAAGTAGCAATTAGCAATTAGAAAAAAAAGAAGGGAAGAAAAAAAAGGGGGGGCTACTAGAATGCTTTTTTCTTATGTTTTTCTTTTGCCTTTTTAATTTTTTTTAATTACAAACATATTTTCACTTCAACTAACACCCTAGTATAAAGTTTATTTTATGTATGTATTATTTTTCCCTTTTCTTTATTTTTGCTTTTTTGTTGTTTCTTTTACCTAATTAATAAAAAATGAAAGCACAAAAAAAGAAAAATATTTTTCCTCTCCAGGGAAAAAAAAGGAAACATTACTGAAAGATTGTCTTCAAAGTTCATTTAATAAATCTCTGTGTTAGTTAATGACTGACCAATCATCAAACTAGGTTTCTGTCACATAACAAACTACTTAACTTCTTTAAGCAATTGTCACATTTAATTGGATGTTTATCTGGCTTAAAAGAACATGATACAAGCATGCATATTGAATCTATTCAACCTTATAGACTTCCTCTCTCTCCAGATCCTATAAAACAATAATATCTTACAAATATAAAGAAATAACTTTCTTATATTATACTTTATATTACATCTGGTTTCTCCTGCTTGTATTTATCTAACTTCAATAGATAATTCTTGAACTGCTCATTATTGCTTTGTTTGTTTTACTTTATTTTTACTATACAAAGCGACTGGAGAATCAAGTGAAAGTGATAATATCCCCAGTACCTTATCATAGAAGTTAATATGTTGGTTTTTTAAAATATAAACTGATTTTTTTCATGTTGTCATTTCATCTTCATCATGCTTGAAGTCTGAAATTTAGTATGTCAATGAAAGTGAGTTATGGCAGTCTCACTGTCTTCTGTAATACTGAAGTCAGACCTGAAATCATATTGAGTATCTTTTTCCTTCCAACTTCAGAAAAATACTGGATGCTAGCATCCTTTCTTGTCATTCCATTTTGACCTCTAGATTCCACTAAACAAATCAATGTACTATGCTATAAGGCCCTGAATGATTTGGGATCCAAGTATTTTTGGGAATATTTTTGAGATAATTGGATAAGGTTTTGTCTGAAACCAAGGACTTTTCAGCTGTAGCTTCCTTACTGTGGAACTTTCTACCTTTGTAATCAAAGCCTCTTCAAGAGCTCAATTTCATTATGCAACTGGGAAATGCAACTGGCAAACTGGGAGCATCCTAGACCAAGCTAAATCCAAAAATGGTAGGGAATTCCTGGAAGCTTGGCATTCAGAAAAATCAGCCATCAATAGAGATAAACCACATTTACACACCATTCAAAAGAGACAATAAAAAAGCCGGTCTTTTTGTTTCTTACTTAGAACACATCTTCTCCAGCAGCCTATACCCAGATAAGCAGGGATTAACACCAAACAAACAATCAAGCAAAAAACAATACCCTAATCAAGGAACTACCAAGTGAGAAAAACACACCTCTACCAACACTGGCAGGGGAAACTACTGTATATAAACAGGGAGAAAACCCCACACTCACTCACACTGATGATGTTACCTAGTTGGGTAATGAAACGTCTGCAAGCAAACAACCAAGCTCAGAGAGCACCAAGGACTCTTCAGTTTCATTAATGCATTTAATAAGAGGCTTTTATTTCTTGAATATGGTCGCTGGTTGACTGAAGCATGGGGGAACTTAACGTTATCTGTAGTTCATTATTATGTATTTCTGTTCTGTAAACCGCTCTGTGATCTTCTATAAAGAATGGTATACAAACTATCATAACAATTCATCCATAGGTAGAAGGTTGCACTGGAGATACTAAAAGCAGATCTGCCGTACCTCAGGTATTCTTTCTGCTTCATAGTGCCATTAAACTAACATTGATTAGTATAGCAATAATATATTTTTTGAAAAAAATGACCTAGCTAAATTTATTTCTGTATTAATTATCTCCAGGTTAAAATGAACATTGTGTGCTTTATGTGTGCTTTAAAGTTTGTTTAGAGACTTTTGCTAGTTCAGAATACAGCAAGTGGCAAAGGTAACAATTAGACATCTCACCAGATCTTCCAACAATTCAAGACACAATTCCAATTGCTGGCCTTCTTCCAAACTGGTTGCTGTTAATGTTCTAGATACCAATAATCATTTTCCCACCGTAATCTGCATTCAAAACTGCTGCTATCTATTTCAGGGAGGATGGCACTTGTTTTGTGCATGCAGCTGGATAAACTATTTTCATTTATCCAAATGCCACATTTCTCAAGATAGCTTTAAATAAAGCAACAGCAACAAAACATACAATTCAGTGTCTTTATAGTAAGTTTATAAAATCATAAATTGATTATGAACAAATTTAAGAGCAACAGGACAACTCTGAGCACATAATTAAAAAAAAATTAAAACAGATCTTTAATTTACATTGTAAAGTAATCTGCAACAGAGGAACTGCCACTTTTGAAGCCCTGTTTACTCATATCAGAAAAATACTTTTTAAAAAAAAATATTCCTAGACGAACTAAAAAGTAGCGGGAACTACTGATGCAGAATCACTGACATTGAAATTCATTATAATCACATTATTATGAGTTAATTTTTCATTGAAAAGAAGTAAATAACAAGTCACCATAACTACCTAAGTTTTTTCCCCTTGAAGTTCTATTTAAATAAATTTCTTTTTTTATTTCTTATGTAATCTGGTTTTTTTCCAATGGTTTTCTCCACTGCTTCCAGTATTTATATCCTGGAACAACAGTGAGAGAAACGGGGAAGCAATTTGTTTTAGAAAAAAATCACATCCTTTTAGCACTATTGGAAAATATATCTATTAAACCACACAAGCACACAAAATGTAATGAAAGAAAGGCTCTTTGAGATTAAATTGTTGCAAACACAAATACCAGTGAAATGGACTTGAGTTGTTACATGGATTTTGCAAAATAGGACAAAATTGTAGTGCAATTTTTCATTATTTTACATGCCTTGTCTATAAATGTGGCCTATATTTGAAGCAGCGCCTTTGGGGTTTTCACTTTGAATGACTTCTGTTCCTTCAACAGGATATCCTTTATTTGTCTCCATGAACATTATGATGAGCAAAGCCTTTTTTGTACGCTGTGTTTAGTGATGGGTGGGCCAACAGCTGCTCCTAGAAGAGGAAAGGTAACTATAGCAACAAATGTTATCTGCATCCTCATGTATTTCCTTGTGCCCACCCTAATCCATGTTCCTTCCACCAAACCACTAAAGCTACCAACTAGTTGGTAAGAGAAAAACATTCTTGGTCTCTTGGACCAAATTCTTTTCTTTTATAAATGCTGTTCAGTTAAAACTGAAAATATTAGAACTTAGGTAGAACTAAGAAAGGTTAGAGATGTATCACCTTGGCTCCAAATTGCTGCTCTCTCTTCTGGGTTTCACTGTGAATTGCAGCCTGTTCTCAGAAGCAACAGTTGCCCCCTCTTCAGGGCCCCGAGTCAAAGCCAGCTACACTTTTGGTCGGACTTTTTTGGGACTTGATAAGTGCAATGCCTGCATTGGAACATCAATTTGCAAGAAATTCTTTAAAGAAGAAATAAGGTCAGAATCTCCATACCATATTTGGGGTGGGATGAAGGGAAAATGGGACTACTTTTTTGGAGGAAAAAAAAAAACACCTCAGATATGTAAATATGTCATTTACCAGATGCATCCTGGTGTGCATCTATATGTTAGCAACATATATCACTTTACTGAAATCATTAATAAATCCCTAAACCATTTAAAAATGCAGGCATCCATCTTTGCCCTAGAAAGACTTTACATCAATATTGTTTTAAAGGCTTAGTTGCTTATAAAAAAATCAAGTTCCTTACGATTTGCAGAAGCAAGATTTGACATTAACAGCTGTGCCATAAAATATAGGTAAAATTACCACTACAAAATGCCTTAATATGTCTTGACTGTTGTTTACTGATTGCTTTACATTTCAAACATGTTTGCTAAGGAAATGATATAGGGCAGATTGCAATGAGATATGTATTTTGAGTCCAATTAATTTCACATACTTAACTCTTTCAAAATGAAATCAATGTAACTTATTTTATTTATTTGACTAATATCTATGCTTGAATTACTAGTCTTATGGACTCTTGAAGCAGCTCCAGCTATGTGGTAGTTGTCTGCCTAAATAAAGTGAAAATAAAAGATATCAGAATTCCAATACCTAGCCAAGAGAATTTAGAGTTACAGCTGCTAAATTAATCCCAGACCCAGATGCCTCCCCAAATAAATAGGCTTTATTGACAATTCTAAAAATCAAGTCTAGGCTGGCTTGATGTAGTTCCTGAGATAAGGCATTTCAAAGGGACTCTGCAACAAAGAAGGCCTGAGACTTGCTGCTAACTGCTGAACTATTCTGTGATGGTGATACCAAGATAAACCATATCAGATCATCTTAAAACCAAGAAGAATACAGAGGGGGTGAGAAGGTAGCATATATTCAGCAGAGGGACTTGCTCCCTGTAAATGCATTAGATTGCAATCTTAGCATTCTTGAAGTTGGAATCTGTCTTTTTCAGAATATTGTAGATGGGCTTTGCTCAAATCAGTGTGTGCTTAGTTTGCATCGGTTTGAATTAACTAAAGTATGAATCAGGCTGAAGTACTTTTGTCATACTTCAGCTGTGCTAAAAGGAACAGGGCAATTTAAGCAAACATATTTTCCTAATTTTCACAAATCATTATTGCTCTTGCCATGATTTGTTCAATTTCAGGTTTTCTAAAAGAAAAGATATTAGGATAGATGTCAGCATGCTGAGAGAGTTATGGGAGAAATGCTCATTCTCTTCTAATGATTTATAGAATGTTAGATGCTTTAAAATAATTGGTAGCACAGCAGACAGTAATTGTTATATTAATAAACTACAGTTTTGCCAGATGCTTACTGCTACTCAACCAGGTGGATTAATTTGACTTTTTTTTTTTTTGGTCTCTGCTGCCATATTAAAGGTACTACAGTAAAATCATAATGAGCCTTGGTAAACCTTGGTCCATATATTTTTAGCTTTTTTGTATTTGTTTACTGAAACCCCATCATTATGGTTGCTAGACACAAATGGTTGGGCCCATAGATCGCAAGGGGCCCTGAGGATGTCTTGTGTATCTCTGCATTCTTTAAACTTTTGGAATTCTCTGAATGGGGTAAGGGATTAGGACATCTTTCCCTTCTCCTGATGTTCGATATAAAATGTTCAATGTATGATTGAAGGCAAACTGGGCTCACAGTATGTCTGGAATACTCTGAAAGATATCCCACATGAAGGAGAGTATGCTAAATGGCAGTGTGTGTATACATGCACGCATACACACACACACAATAGCCACTTTAACATTACTTTCAGATTCTAAATACCATATAGCACTATAGTCAGCCTTTGGGATGAGTTAAAACTCAATCCACAAAGCCTTACCAAGAAAAATATTATTGCTATCCTGCAACAACCATGGTTCTGTTTTATTTTATGGTCACAAATCCTAGCACCAATGACCATACTGGGGTACCAAGGGACACCAAGGCAAACAGGCTTCCCTGAACTAAGAATGCATCTCAAAAGTTCCCCTGAGTTTGTGAAATTATGCAGAGTTTCTGTGATCAATGTTAATAGATTCAGCAAGAGAGTGAAGATGGAAAGGATACTCTAAAAGCATTCTTCCTTAATCCTTAAAGGTATTGGGGTCCACTATTAAATTTCCAAGAATGCAGCATGGTGGAAAGTGAGTATTTTTTTCTAATCACTCTCTACTTTGCTGTATTGTTCAAAAACACACTGGATCTTTAGCTGATCTTCAGCGAGACGTACATTTCATAAAGGTTTTCTATCCCAATAAAACAATAAACTGCATGAGAGTTTTTCACAAACATAACTGTATGCCTGGTTGTTAGGTTCGGCACCCCGGTGTCCTCCAGATATTTTGGACTTCAATTACTATGAGACCTGAGTAACGACAAGAAACTCTAGGAATTGTAAACCACATTTGGAGGGCACCAGGTTGCTCACCTTTGCCATACTGAACAAGCAGAAATATAAAGCATATTATTAAAACATTTTGTGCCAGGGTTGGAGAACTTCTTTGTGGCTGCTCTTTTGTCAGCTTCCAAGGGTCACAGGAAGAATGTGCTACTATTGCTGGAGGAGCAAAGGCAAAACTGTTGCTCTCATGCTTTTTAAAAAACCACTTGGGGATGGGTTAGGCCAAATATTGTACTAGTTCTTCTTTTAAAACAGACCTGAAGAATCGTACCACTGAATTTTGGGAACTTCCCATCCAATTTCAAGAGTACAATTCTGGGGAGCTTTAGGGACTAAAAAAGAAGCAGGAAGCCACAGGATGCTGAGGGTTGCCTGTTCTTGCCCTTGGGTCAGTGTTTTTCCTTATGGAAAGGAAGAAGACTCTGACCAGATGTACACAAATCTTATAATAGCACTTTGAGGAAACAGATACCTCACTGGCATTGTAATAGATCACTATTACTGGACACCATTGGTCAATACTTACAAGTCTGAAACTTGGACTTCCAGAAAAGGTTGGGGGAAGTGATTCACCTGCACATGTTGTTTCACATTAACCCCTGTCAGTTGTGATCTTCTGTCAGTGACGTAGGCCAACAAGTTGTTTTGCAAGAAAATACAATGTGCGTAATCCAATCTTGCAAATCTTTCTATAGCAAACCTTCAAATAGCTGTACTCCAGCAAACAGGTTTTAAATTTTTAACTTCTCAGCTGGAATTTATCAGCAAACCTGACACTGTGTAATTTGATCATGAGATAGCTGGAAGTGGTACCTCACTACAGAAAGTAATTTTTTCTGAAATGGGATTTTTTATAGTATTGATCCTACTATACCTATTTTTAAAACGGTGGCAGCTAATCAGAATGGAGTCACACCAACGCTACTTGCATGGTATATAATATATTGATAATTTGCATAATATGCTGATTTATTTTGTATAAAGTTTAATCAAAGTTTATTGAATAAACCATAATAGGATTTGCACAGCACATCAAGTCATAAACTATAGGATAGCAATCACAATGACTGAGTTAACATAGCATATTAAATCAAAACTCAAAGCACCACTTTTTGGCTTAGAGTGAGATGAACCCATCCACTAAGTCACAGCTCTTACCTTCTCTTTTATTGCTTGGCCTTATGGCTTTTTTGTTTATTGAAAAGGAAATCTCTCTATACTCAAAGTTAAGATACCCAGGAACCTATTCCTCGTCAGTCCTATGCATAGTGACTTGATTCACATTTCATAGACTTACTACATGCAGAGCAGAATTTACCCTTGATGCGGTTTTACATGTCTCTGACTATTGTGGTTTTACTCTTAAAAACATATTTAAACTCTTGTTTTAAAAGGATTTAGGAGGGGGTTGGGGGTAAAAATGCGAATTAATAAGAATGAAACAGATTCATGGATGAAAATTGATAGCAAAATGACACAACTTAGAAATGACAAATTTGCTTATCCCTACTCAACATATACTATATAACCTCTCTCTTAGATAAATGCTTCATGTGTGCAGTGTCCTCATGGCCATGATTTGCTCTGTGTTTTGCAAGAGCATTCCAAGTAGAAGTCAGTTGTGCCTTGCTTGGATAGCAAGAAAGTTTCAGATGAACGAATGTGATAGAATAGTGAACTGTTTTCTAAATCTACCCTTGCTGAGTCTTCACAAAGCATCTCAAAGTATCAGTAAGCTTATAAAATATGGTACTGGAATCCAGTTCCATGCACGTAAGGTCAGGTTCTCATAGCATTTTCAGTTTGCCCTAAAGGATTCCAGTTGAAAGCATCTATTTGGGCTCAGCCTTTTTAGCCATTTGCACTGAGTGCTAAATGATAGGATGCAGCCATTTTAGCTGACTGCTGTGAATATTTCTGATTAAAAATACTTGCAGGTAAGCTTCCTTACAACCTTTATTGAGTTTATCCTCAATTACACATACTTTTGGAATTCCTCTGTATATATGTTGAAATGAGGCTAAGGAGGGTTCAGTAAATGAGAGATCATTGAATTCATGAATAAACCAGGGATTTTCATGCCCAAGTCTGACATGATCTTCATAAGATCACACTGACTTTTAGTTAGGCGCTATTTAAGTCCCAGGAATTCTCAAATTAAAGGTAGAAAGGTGAAAATAACTTTAAATGTGCCAGATCTTGAGAGTATACTTTTCTAAATTTAGGAATATATATATAAAGTTTTAATTGTTAAGAGAGTAAAATACAAAAGAAAAAAATTATAAATTGAATTGTGATAATACAGTGAAGAAAAAAGAGCTAAATATATAAAGATGATTAAAAGAATTAAATGTAGTAACAACAGCAACAACAGCAATCTGTATAATTATAAATACATATACAGGATTAATTCAACCATTAACCTAATAATTAGCATCACCATGTAGCATCACAATGAGGCATCTTCCTCATTTTTTAGAGCAAAGATTTTTCAAAGATAGATAATAGACTCATATCCTGGATCCATTCCTTAAAGTAAGGAGTATAACTTTCTTTTCTGTTATATCAGATTATGCTCTTTGCTGTATCCCAAAGCCCATAACTACATGATCTAGATCAGGACATTTTCAGTATCAGAACTGAGCTTCAAAATTCTTTTACCACATAAAATAATGTGTGGTTGCAACTGCCTTGGGGAGATAGGCTTTTGGACTTGCTGTCATATAATTACACACATTACACTGAGTAGGACTTATCTCTTATCTCTGAGATACACAGGATTGTACTGTCAAAATAGTCATTCATAAATACCACTTAAGAATTCAGCGCTTTTCCAAACTCAAAAACTTTGCACAGATTCCATTTTCTTTTGGAGTCAGAGGGCGGAAAAAAATCCCACAATTTTAAATAAAATTAGCATTAATGTAGTCAAGATCAAATCACCAACTATGAAGAGATTCTACTGGAATTGCTTTCTAAGTGAATATTGTAGCCCAAGGCTTGAAAGTTTTTAAATCAGTCTTGAAATTATTAAGGCTTGGAATTATTAAGGCAGTCTTCAAAATCATAGTCTTTCAATACTCGTTAAAAAGCAGTCAACTTAATTCAAATGAGTGATAAGTCATATCAGTTCTAAAGTAGTTTTATTGTGTACTCTAGATCATCTTGACTTCAAGTTTGAGCATTTAAAATATGCATTATGATAAGAGAAAATTACAATAGTTTCCCTTGATTTATTGGAAGCATTACAACATTTAGGACATTTTTGCGAATGTCTGCCACTTTGTGTGCACATTTGTGGGTGCTGCATGTGTATGGAGGCTCTGAGAGCACTATTCAGTCAACATTATGTGAACATTTTATAGATTTACAAACATAACGACCAGTCCACAAGAAAGAGAAACAAAATAGAAAATGCTCAAGTTTACATCATTTCCATAGCATGGAGGTTTATGAAAGCCTTAAAAAACTGAGGATATACTTAGTAAAATAATTTTGGTCTGCTGTTGCTTAAATCTGGTTTCAAAATGGAGCTCTGGTTTGCTTTACTTTGCATTTATTTATTTCTTCAATTTATATTGATTGATGGTTGATTATGTGCCATCAGGTTGTGTCAACTCTTAGATTTATATAGCTATCCATTTTTTAAAGTTCCAGATGCCTTCCCCACTGATATTGATACTGGTGGCCCTTTATAATTATTTGGACAGAATTTGATGACATCTCTATAAATAGCTTTGTCTGAATTTACAAAGCCAGTTAGATGGCAGATAAGTAGCTGAAGAATGTTTTAAATTTGTATTTTAAGAAGTATACCCCTCTTCAAGGATGGGGAACTTGTTCCCAGCAGCACCAGTTAGCACTGGGAGTTGTAGAGCCATAAGTGTCCTCTCTATGTCCTTCCTTCTCTATAGTTCTTTGGGAAATTTGCATGTGGTGTCCCTAGATAAGAAAACTGTCAAACAACAGAAGAATAGATGTGATTGTTCAACTGTTAAATTATTTCCAGTATTCCTCACAAAAGCACCATCATAGAAAAAGTCTGGAAAAAATCATTCACTGATTAAAATATAGATCCATACATTATAAAACTGTATACTTTCTTTTAATTCTAAAAGGAATTTTCCTCTTATGGAGAGCTTTCCTATGGGGGTTCAAGTTTAGGGCTTACAGGAAACTGAAACTAACCCTGCATAACAAACTTTAGTAACTGCTCTTTTTGCTTTAGACAAACTTCACAGAAGAGCCATTCTTACAGTCTAAGAAGCAGGCTACGATATTCAGCTTTAATCCAAAATAGATGCACACATCAGACGTCTTTACATACCTTTTTTAGTTTCCACAAGGGGATGAAAAGAAAGCTAATAATGAAGGTTGATGACAAATATCAACCACCTTATAAACCCAAAAGTCTCCCATGATGAAATTTATCAAGCTAAGCAACTATTAGCAAAACATACATATTTGCAGAATATGTGATCGCTGTCAATTGTCTACATCAGCCATTCCCTGCCAGGGGTCAGGTCCAATGGTTTCCTTCTCTGACTGATGCTGTTCTGCCAAAAGAATGGAGTCTTCAACTCCCAACCCACCCAAGAATCTGACTGAGAAAGCTAGAAGAAACTCCCAATCAGATCTGCAACATAAATAGCAGAGATGGTGCCAGTGGGTATGCAAAAGAGCAATGGGAGTTTTGCTAAGTGAGCATAAATATGTGTAATATTGGATGTAGTCAGATGCACTGAACTACAACTACCCTCAGGCTGATTGTGGTTGATTCTATGATTTGTATAATTTCTTTCCTCACCAATATTGTGAGGAAGGTGAAAAATGTGTTAGACTCTTCCAGTTACAGTGACACAGAGTGCTTGCCACAAAGTTAACATTCTTCAAAAAGTGGCTATTATTTAGCCATTTTATAGATCTCTTTTTGGCAGCCTACCTTATGGTATAAATTCGGCAAAAATATTCCTGTGGTAAACTGGGCAAAGGTGGATTAACACTGTTGTATGTTTGCGTTTTGATGACAGGTTTGACAGTTGGCTCTCTTCACATTTAACCCTCCCTCCAAGCTCCCTCTCCCATTACCCCGGGAACTATTCAGATGACAGCAAAAGTTGGCGGCCAGTTGAGATCTCCCGATTAACCACAAAATACCAACATGACCAGTCCGACGAGAGAATTTGCACTTCCCTTACTCAGACTAAAAGCTGTAGCATTGAGCGAGCTCTATGGAACACGGAGAGATTCCAGAAATGGCTGAAAGCAAAGCGCCTGACCCCTCTCTTGGTCCAGGTTTGTACAAAGTCTTCTGCAATGCCCAACTGATACGTAACCCGCAGTCTTGTTTAAAAGCTGCCTGTTGTTAGGAAATAACTATTGTATTATGGACTTTGGACCATCCTTACTTCTTTCTCCTCCTTCCCTACCCATGTAGATACACACAAACCTCAAAAGCCACAAAGCAATAAGGTGGATAAGCTGCTGAGAAGCCCCATTTGTCTAGCATGTGATTACTTTCATAGAGAAAGAAACTATGGAGTATAGCAGATTGTGCTGTTGTTATTATTAATGATTATGCATGTTGTTGTTCTTGTACTGCTACATGATTACCTTGGGCTGCCTGTGCATCATTCTTGAAGACTTAGTAGAAGTTACTGTTATGCAAGCAGCAAAAAAAAACATACTTCTGAATCCTGTTGTCTTGCTGATCAGTAGAAAAGACACAAGAGTAAAACAAAGTGAGACAGTTAAAAACAGACAAACTCAAAACCTTTCAAGCATCAGTTTGTCTCTCTGTCAATAAACTCACACCAAGAAACTTCATAATAGTATGCAATAGGCTATTTGATCTTTGGCTTTTCACTATGGATGCGATCACTTTATTGGTGGTCTACCCAAACTTAACCCACAGTGAGTTTAAAAAGAACTTGGCCATCTGTCATTTGGCAGGGTTCACTTTGATATGGTCATGTCATAAGCAGATGCCTTCTTCCTTTTCATAATCCCTCATGTACCAGTCTTTATCTTTTTCCAGTCAGGATATCTTATACCAGTCAAGAGATCCAGTGGCCTCCTTCTTTTGTCTGAGATGCATCTTGATCTATTTGGATACAGAGTCCTTGTCTTTCTTTCAAAAGGCCAGAACTTCAGTAATTCTGTGCCCTTTCTCTAAAGCAACATTCAGTTCTATGGTACACCATTGCTCCATTCAGGGCCCTCTCTTTGTGTCTCCTCAAAATGCTCTACCTGTGTTTCTGCACAGCTTGCACACAAGTAATTAACATGCCCCGCCTTGTAGGATAAAACTGGGAAATAGAGGCTTCTGGGTGGGTACACTTTGACCTTAGAGAGTCCAAAATACTGGTCTATGTCTCCCAAATGTTGATAGATTATCTGTGGGTGATCAATGGAGTATGTCCTTTTGTTGTTCACAAATGAACACAAACTGGTAGAATTGTAATTTAAGATTTTTTCACTGGGTTTGACTTGTAGTATAGACATGTGTCATTCATTCTATCTTCAAAAAGAGCATCTCATTGATTCAAGGGGGTTACGAGCTTCTTCTTAACCACTAACAGCTTCAAGGAAGCATCAGTTGCTAACTTAGCATCCCAAATGCGGTGTATAGCATAACCCTGATCCTTGAGGTATTCTTCTTTAACCTGAGTGCATTTGTACAGAAGCTCATAGGTTGAATTGAGCATGCTATTTTTGTCCTCTGCACGATGAGACAACCACAACACAAGCAATCATTAAATTCAAAGGCCATGGGGATACCACTGATGGCAGCAAAGCCATCCAAAAAATAATTACCAACTTGCTCTTCACCCTGCTGCAATGCATGCTAAATATTCAGACTCTTGCTATATGTTATATACATCCACCATTGTATGGAAGGTGTGGAATACCTTTGCCTAAAAGTGCTAATGCAATTGTGTTTTTCTCCAAATACATGATATGGTACTGAGCAATGCAGACAGATGCCTGTATAACATACTGGAAAGGGTTAATGCATGAATCTCAGTCTCTTCAGCAAGAAGTGTGTGCCTTTGGAGGCAGGACTTGGAGGAGAAAACAATTTGCATACTTAGTGTATTTTGTCCTCTCCATATCCACCTGGTGACAGGCTTGCTTCAGATCTGCACATCAATGGTATACAGATAGTCCTCGACTTACATCCGCAATTGGGACCAGAATTTCCATCACTAAGCAATGTGATCATAAAGTGAGATGTCATGTGACCACATCACTTAGTGATGGCAATTCCCCCTTACTGTCATTAAGTGAATTTCACCAGTCATTAGCCAAGGACACCCCCCAATCCAAGCCATTCTGGGTTTGGTCGCTGCCAGCCCCAAGCCTCAGTAAGGTAAGGGACTGCTTCCAATTCCCCACCCACCTATTCCCTCCCCAATCTCTGCCCTTTTGGCTGCCCCGCACTCTGCCTTGCAGGTCAGCAAGCAGCCCCAGAACCAATCAGAATTGCTTGCTGATACATTCAGGGTATGTGTGTACATGTGTGTTTCTAGTAAATTTTACAAAAATATAACGCTGGATTTAACTTTCAGAAAAAATGAAAAGCAAGTGTACCTTTAAAAGTTCTTTTTCCTGCACTTAAAGTATTGATTATATAAATTCAACAAAAATAAAACTTTATTAGGGCTTTGTTTATTTCAAAATTGGTCAAAATTGGGTTTGCTTCAAAATATAGATTTTCAGTATAGTCAAGCTTTAGGGTTACTAGATGTCAATGAAATCAAGTAGTTCAGTCCTTGATTAGGGTTTTAACTTTAGGACCAGCAAGCAGACTTTCCTAATGGATTTATAATACATCATATCCAGTAGGATTCATGACTTGGTGACATCAACCCCACATCCTGGCTCTACTTAACTTCTTAGCAGCTTTCGATACCATCAACCATGGTATCCTTCTGGATTGGATCTGGGGATTGGGAGTGGGTGGCACAGTAGTGTTCTGGTTCTCTTCTTTCCTAAGGGGCCGATACCAGTCGATGTTGATCAGGAGAGATCACGCCCTCGACCCCTACTGTGTGGGATGCTGCAGGGTTTGGTGCTGTCTCCACTCCAATTTAACATTTACATGAAACTGCTGGGGGAGATCACCACAGGGTGAGGTATCATCAATATGCTGATGATACTCAATTATATCTCTCCACCCCTGGTGAATTAAGCAATGCTGTGGATGTCCTGTCCCAGTGCCTGGAGGCTGTAGGGGTCTGGTTGGGGAACAACAGGCTTCAACTGAACCCTGGCAAGTCTGAGTGGCTTTGGGTTTTAGGGACTACTGAATCTGGTATTTCACTATCTTTGGTTCTGGATGGGGTGGCACTGCCCCAAATGGACCCAGTGTGCAATCTGGGGGTCCTTCTGGACTCACAACTCAAGCTCAAAGAGTAGATGGCAGTTGTGGCTAGGAGGGCCTTTGTGCAACTTTGTGTTATGCACCAGTTGCACCCGTTCCTGGATTGTGAGGCTCTGCTTACAGTCACTCATGCCCTGGTCACCTCCCAAATGGACTACTGTAACATGCTCTACATGGGGCTGCCTTGAAGAATATCTGGAAGCTTCAGCTGGTGCAAAATGTGGTGGCACAGGCACTTATGTGTGTCCATAGATGGACGCAAGTTACACCTCTGCTCATTGAGCTGCATTGGTTGCCAGTTTGCTTCCAGGTCAATTCAAGGTGCTGGTTTTGACCTTTAAAGCCGTATATGGCATGAGGCCAAGTTATCTGAGGGACCGCCTCTTCCCTATTACGTCCAACAGGAGAGGCAGATGTGAGTCCTATCCGCAAGAGTTCCATTTGACAGGACCTAGGAGGTGAGCCTTTTCTGCTGTGGCACTTGCCCTCTGGAACATCATCCCTTCTGAGGAGAGTTTAAGAGTTTTGAGAGCTTTATGGCCTTCTATAAAGCTCTCAAAATGTGGTTTTTTCCAGCAACCCTGGAGATCCCCTGGTAATAGGGAGCCTGCATGCTGGTTATTCTGTATGTAAACATCTTCCCTCTTGTGGTCTCGTTCTATCCACATTTATTGTTTTAATGGGTTTGCAAAATATGTTAATCCTTGATTTCATTGTATGCCACCCAGAGTCACTTCGGGTGAGATGGGTGGCCATATAAATTTGACAAATAAATAAATAAACAAACAAACATGTAAGTAGAACAGCTAATTAGGTCCGTACCTCAAGTAATCCCAAAGATTATAGTTTAAAACTCTGATGCAAAATTAAGTTTAGTCCTTGGCACAATCCCCTACTGTTACTATCCAAAACAACATAGAACTGCCTCCCTCTTAAGTGGTGGCTGATCGTTATCTTGGAAGTCCATCCACCTCTTTGAAGTTGATTGCCTAAACTGCGTAAGCTTACATAGAATATAGTGGGAGGCTAGTTGATGATGACTATAACTTTGGAGCTGATATGCAGGTCCCTTTTACATCTGTAGGAACTCTCCAACTATGCACAGAAGTAGCAATATTAATCTGTTAGAACCACCTCCCACGTGTTGATGCCAGGGACTTTCAAGAACAGCAAAGCATCACCTGTTGCCTCAGCTGATGCCAATGCAATTCTGAGAGTGCGTTCTATGGAGGCAGGAGATTATGCAGGATTCTTTGAGAGTCAAGCACAAAACCTTGCCTAGTCCTAGAACATCAGGCACATTCTAGTGGCCAAGTGCCCAGTCCTCTCAAAGTTCTTTAATCTCTTGCCTATCTATAGCAATATCTCTCATGCAAAAGGGAGTCTTTTTACTGAATTCCTTCAGAGCCATAGAGGTTGTTAGGAGAGATAAATCTTGCCTTTGGTCCTCACATCAGGTACTTCATAGCAGCTGCTGGGCAATTTCTGGTCTCCAAGGAACAGTAGCAAAAGGCTAAGGGGGAGAGAACTATGTGGGAATACGAATAACCATGGGAGTGTTGCTCCATCCAAATAAATAGCAAAGGAAGACATTCCTCTTATGCATCAGAAAAAATAGAACTGCCTCTTTCTCCTACTTCCCCAGCCCATGAGAAGGCTTTATTGTGCTGAAAGATGCCAGCTACCATTTGCACCAGAGCAAAGTACAGTGATTCATTTGGCCAGTTATTAATGCCAAAGGCTAAAGGACTGGCTCGATATCTGAGAACAAACATTACATAATTGTGCATTGTTATAATGATCAGTGCTAATGCAAGTCAACAATGGCCCCTGGAAAAAAAGTGGGTGGGGCAAAGACTCAGGAAGTGAACTATTAAGTGAATCAAATCAGTGATCCAAGGAGGCATCA